ATCAAAAGGCAAAAGGGTATAAATAGAACCCCCACACCAGACCACAAAAACCCTAACCGCCTGCCCTCGCCGGAGAAGACGCCGGCCGCCGCCACCCGCCGCCGCACCGGGGAGATTTCCGACCGCTGATCGAGGTAAATTTCATACTCTCGACTCGTTTTTCCAAGCTATGGGAACAAAGCTGTCTCTTAGTACAGTCTTCCACCCCCAAACTGATGGACAATCAGAGAGGACAATTCGTACGCTTGAGGATATGCTCCGAGCTTGTGTCCTTGACTCCAGGGGCCATTGGGACGACCATCTACCACTGATAGAGTTTGCCTACAACAACAGCTACCAAGCAAGCATCAGCATGGCCCCATACGAGGTGCTATACGGGCATCCTTGTAGGTCACCGATTTGTTGGGAGGAAGTGGGCGATAGAAGATTGTTTGGCCCGGATTTGGTAGAAGAGACCACCTCCAAGATAGTTAAAATCAAGAAGAACATTCAGATAGCTCAGAGTAGGCAGAAGAGTTATGCTAATACCCGGAGGAGAGACCTGGCTTTTGAGAAAGGCGACCAGGTGTTTCTTAAGGTCACCCCCTTCAAGGGAATTAGTAGGTTCGGCAGGAAGGGAAAATTAAACCCCAGATATATTGGACCCTTTGAAATCTTAGACAAGATTGGTACCACTGCCTACAGACTTGCACTGCCTCCAGAACTCTCCCGGGTTCATAATGTGTTTCACGTATCTATGCTACGTAAGTAAAACCCGGACCCTTCTCATGTCTTAGCTCATGAACCGCTCCCACTCCAAAACGATTTGTCTTATGAAGAAGTACCGGTCGGTATCACGGACCGAGAGAGCAGAATACTCCGCAACCGGAAAATATCATTTGTAAAAGTCGTGTGGCAGAACCACACGCCCAAAGAGGCTACTTGGGAACTGAAATCAGAATTTAGGGCCCAATATCCCCATCTGCTCGATCAAGAGTAATGAGACAAATTTGGGGACCAAATTTCCTTAAGGGGAGGAGAGTTGTAACGCCCGGGAATTGGAAGAGGGAAAAAAAAAAGCCACGTCAGCAGCCACATCAGCAGACCCAGTCAGCAATCCCGGCCAACCAGGACCTGCCACGTGGCAAAACCACGTTGACCGGGGACGGACCACGTTGGCGATCCGCGTACGCGCGATCGGACGGCCCAGATCAAGCGTGCGTACGGATGGCCCAGATTAAAACAAAATGGACGGCTAAGATCAAAAGGCAAAAGGGTATAAATAGAACCCCTACACCAGACCACAAAAACCCTAGCCGCCTGCCCTCGCCGGAGAAGACGAACCAGACGCCGGCCGCCGCCACCCGCCGCCGCACCGGAGAGATTTCCGACCGCCGATCGAGGTAAATTTCATACCCTCGACTCGTTTTTCCACGCTGATTTTCCCTGTGGCCAAATCGGAGCCAAAATCCTGGCCAAACGGCCGGAAAACACGGCCGAAATCCAGCGGCGCCGCCGCGCCCCTTCTCGGTTTTTGCCTCCGATGAGGCCATTCCTGACCTCCGTTTGATGCAATTTTTATATCACTGTGATCACCATTCTTTTCTCTACAGGTTGATCAGAGCCGAATCACCAAAACACGAACTTCACCGGAGAGCCACCGTACCCGAGAGCACCGCCGTCGGTAAGCTTCGATTTTCCGTAATTTTTTGGCCCCCCGAGGGCCCTAGGATTGTTTTATCGCAAGGATCAATGTAAGTGTGGTCGAATTCGGCCGGAAACGGCCGAAAATGGCCAAATCGAGGCGAATCGCCGCTGTAAGCGGCGGCGCCGTCGCCGGAGCACGGCGGAGCCACCGTGCCAGAATTGCGATATTGGCCAAAAAGGGGCCCCGTGCCTAATTTGGGATTTTTTGGAACACGTGCAGGTACCAGTAGTGCATTTCAGTTCCCCGGAAAAAATTCAGGAAAAATTAGGGACAGCCTGTAGGCGCACTGTGAAGCCGTGTTGGGACCCCGAAACGAGTAAGGACCCCTCACCCTATTTCCTATCACGGTATTAAAGTTCAATAAATGATAAAACGGTATTTCATAAATCAACAAATGTGTGAAATTGCTTAAGGTCGCTAATGGAGCCCGAGTCTAGTGTGTTTGTCGGTTAACTGTTATTTGGCCTGTTTTACAGTTTTAAATGCAGTATGAGGTTTGATGTTTTCATTTTATAGTTTCGTGTGCATATTTTACTGTTTTACTGATTATGGATTGAATGACTGGGACATTGATGTTGTATGTTGTCTGTTTGGCATAAATTACCGTTTTGCTTGTTTGTATGTGGATTGATAATGCTGACTGAGGGAAAGGAGAATGAAAGATTACGTGAATGGGTAATTGTATAATGTGGTCAACCTGACTAGATATCCTGGGAGATGGTGGACGGACCGGGTCCGTAGGGAACCCTACCAGGATTGTGGTCTTCCATACCGGACGGAGTATGGAGATCTTATGTGTTTTGGCGCCCATACCGGACGGGGTATGGGGACGGCCCGTTTCACCCTCATACCGGACGGGGTAATGAGGTTTATAGTTTTGGCGCCCATACCGGACGGGGTATGGGGACGGCCCTGGAATATGATTTCAAGTGTTAAGGGTTAACGGGTAGCGGGACCCCTATGGATCCCCATGGATACTAGTGGGCTCGTAAATGAGGAAAATATGTTGTGTAACGATTGAATTACGAAAGGCTTGATAAGTATTATGTTATACAGTTTATATATGATTTCATGATGATGATAATGTTATTGCTTTCGTACACTGTTTTATGAATTTCACCGAGGTAAGTGGATGGTGAAGGATTTATTATTGATAAAAGAATTTGTTGTAAATTATGCTCCATTGGTCTTTTTATGTTTTCTACCCACTTTTACCTCCGTGACGGTGAGATATCGTGATGTCTTTACTGGGCTAGTGTAGCTCATTCCTTATTTAATCATTTCAGATCAGGAAGACATGTTCCCGAGCCGGTTCCGCAGGAGGACGACGAAGGGGACGCCTAAAGACTACATAGTTATATTCGTAGCTTTTACTTTCAAGTTTCTCCTTTAGGTAGTTTGATTTTTTATATTTTGTGAGTACGTTTTTGGTTTTAGTGTAAGGGATGTTAATCGAATTTTTTGACTTCGCTTCCGCATTTGATATTTTTAATATACATTTCATTTTAAATTTTCGGGCCGTTACAGCTTTACTTATAAATTAGTGAATACAATAAATATATCTTTAAGTGAAATTCATTTATAACTCGATGAACATAAACATTAGCTCCTCATACGATTTATCTAACTAAGATCTAAACGAGCTCTTTAATTATTCTACATCTTCTTTTTGTGTTCACTTTTTTTTCCTAAAAAGTAATTTTATTATTTTTACAAAGTGTTTTCAATGCCTTTCATCCTCTTTTTCACTTCACAATGTTTGTAAATACTCTTTTTTGTGAATGTGAATCTTCTTCATGGGTAATCATTTGCTTGAGAAAGGCAAACAAATGAAAAAGGACCTTTGATTGTATAAATTTTTCTTATTAAAAGTTTATATAAATTTACCTCTTATATAAGACCTTCATAAGAGTAAAAAAAAGTTGTGTCATTTTGATAACCAAAAAAGAATATGTAGTTTACCCCTAAATTCTTCCAAACTTAAATGTAATATTTAGACGATAAACGTACCTAAGACGAGTTATATTTGTTGCGTTAACCCCTAATTGATTATTTAGCCAAAAATTACTCTCATAAATTATAATTCACAAAAGGAGAAGTTTGAAATTTTATTCACAATTAAATCCGCCCCAACTATTTTCATTTATAGTTGATGCATTTTTTTAGGGACAATGTTAGTCATCTTGCCAGTATTTCAAAATGTGAAATTTTCTGCTGCTTTAACATTTGTTTTTTTCTATTTCGCAATGAATTTCAAGGTATTTTGAAATTGACTAATACATTTTAGGTCCACATACTGTTATACAAGATTCATAGTCTCTAAGTAAATTCTCGTACAAATTTTTATATGTATAGTATTTCAAATCTTATTCTCAATTAAATGTATGAATTTTTTTAGAAGCTAAAATCCCGTCTCAATATATATGCGTAATCCTAAATCTAATCCTTTTTTGCCTATAAATATTTTTATACAGTATAATATTTTGTTTCAAAATAGTTAATAACTTGATATTTAATAATATCCGATCCATTACTACAAAAATATTGTCATTACGACTCATTTATATAATTAGATAGTTCTTCATTTATAAACCCTTAAATTTATTAATATCATGAAGAAGCATTAACAAAAATGAAACTTGATTAGTTAATATAGATAGCACTAGAACTCATTTAATGATTAACAAAGAAATATGAATAATTATATCTTTATGTGTGTGAAAGTAATCAATTTGGATACGTATATTGCATATATATATATATATATATATAAATTAATTTCCACATACAAGATTTGTTCTTGTTCCTTCATTTGCTATTTATTTACAATTAGTTCAAAAATGAACAATTAAAACAAAAAGAAATAAATATTTAATTCCATATTTAGAATTAGAACATTTTCAAATGTGTAAACATTGTATGTAGGCACACCAATTTAAGTTACTTAGATCAACCATAAATTTTTTAATAAACCCAATTCGTAAAGGCCAAGCCGTTTTTATTCCTATAAACTAAAAATCCAAAATATACAA